GCATTTGCAATGAATTTCGAGGGGGGACGGTTTCAGTTCCAATTTCTGTTTATTTTTGGAAATGAAAGTGATTTATAGGCATTTTATCAATTTAATAGCCTACGAAAGCGATCCCAATTTTGCACATAAACGTAGTGCAGTATATAATAAAAATGTAGTGTGATATTTGTGTCTATGGTTAGCTGCGCAATCTTGTTTTTTTTGTGATTAGGGAAGGCATCTGTAAAGGCTTTTCAATCGCCCATTTGGCCAAATAGTTAAAGGGGTCACATGATGCGATTTCAATTTTTCCTTTCTCTTTGGAGTGTTACAAGCTCTTGGTGCATAAAGAAGATCTGTAAAGTTGCAAAGACTCAAGTCCAAAGAGATATTCTTTATAAAAGTTAAGAGTCAGCCACGCCTACTTAAAACGGCTCGTTCTAACACGCCCCCACATATCTACGTCAATATGTGGAAATATTAGCATAATGCCGCCCAAATGTGCACATAAAGAAAGAAGGCGTAACTTTTATTCTCGCTGTAGTATTGTTGTTGCCGCCGCTGCCGGTCGTTCATGACTTTATCTCCCGGCCTCTGCTCACTGCAGGCCGCCGTGTATGACGCTGTGTTTCGTTGTGAAAGTGAAACTACTTTGTTTGGCCTTCCAAAAGTGGACACGACTAGAAATCAGTGGAGAGACTTAAAAAGACTTTAGCTGGCCAATCAGAGCAGACTGCGCTTGTCAAAGGAGGGGGCTTTGTAGAAAACGAAGCGTTTATAAAGAATATCTCTTTGGATTTGAGACTTTAGTCTTTGCAACTTTACAGATCTTCTTTATGCACCAAGAGCTTGTAACACTCCAAAGTGAAAGGAAAACATAAAATCGCATCATATGACCCCTTTAAGTGGCTGGGATTACTATTTTAGTCCAATTAATTACATTCAATTAACTAATTTAGTTTGGAAAAAGTGGTTTTAAACCAACTTACACCTTATTTAATCACAAACAACATCTTAGATCCTTTTCAGTCTGCTTTTAAGGCTAAGCACAGTACTGAGTCTGCCCTATTAAGAGTGACAAATGACATCTTGTTATCGGTGGACTCTGGAAACTGCGCAGTTCTTGTTCTGTTAGATTTAAGCGCAGCCTTCGACACTGTGGATCATTGCATTCTGTTAAAAAAATTTAATCACGAGGTTGGCATCCGCGATGCTGCCTTAGATTGGTTTGAGTCTTGTCTTTCAAATAGGAGTATATCCGTAGAAATTGGAGAATTTTCATCATCCCCAGTGCAAATCACCGGGTTCGATTCTGGGTCCAGTTTTGTTTTCTCTTTACATGCTTCCATTACGCTCTATCTTTGAGAATCATAATATCTCTTATCACATCTATGCAGATGATACCCAGCTCTATTTACCATTAGACTCTGGTAGTGATTCTGTTTCTTCCCTGCTAGCATGTTTAAAGGATATTAAAGAAAGGATGGACGAAAAGTTTCTTCAGTTAAATGAAAATAAGACAGAGGTTATTCTGTTTGGCTCTAAACTGCAGATTGACAAATACAGTGATTTCTTGGGGCATCTTCAGTTAAAAAAACACTCCCATGTTAGAAATCTGGGGGTCATTTTTGATTCAGATCTGAAGTTTGACAAACAAATAAATTTGGTGGTCAGGGCCAGCTTTTTCCAGCTAAAGCGACTTCGAAAGTTAAAGCACCTACTTACTTTTAGGGATTTGGAGACCGTTATTCACGCTTTTATTTCCTCAAGGCTTGATTACTGCAATGCCTTGTATGCTGGAATCAATCAGTCATCACTCGCATGACTACAGATTGTCCAAAATGCTGCAGTACATTTCCTGACTGGGACAAAAAAGAGGGAACATATTTCACCTGTTCAAGCCTCTCTCCATTGGCTACCTGTGAGACAAAGAATTGATTTTAAGGTTTTAACTTACGTGTTCAAAGCACTGCATGGACTTGCCCCCATTTATATATCAGAACTTTTAAGATTTTATTCTCCTCAGAGATCACTCAGATCTTCAGTCCAGTTGTTTCTGAATGTCCCGAAATCTCGTTTGAAAACCAAGGGAGACAGGTCTTTTTCAGTCTATACTCCTAAACTTTGGAACACACTACCCTTAACGATTAGAGCTTCTCCTACATTAAGCGTTTTCAAAGCATCAATTAAAACCTATCTTTTTTCACAGGCTTACTCATAATTTGGTTCATTTGTATGTACCTCTTAAATGCTAGGGGTTGCAGTTTTTGTGATGTACCAGATTGTGACTAATTTTTACATTTATACAATTTTGTTTTATTATTCTTTTAAGTTAATGGATTGTTTATTTGTTACATTTGTTTTCTATGTGCGTTTTGTTTTGCTTGTGAAGCACTTTGGTCAACATTTGTGTTGTTTTAAGGTGCTACATAAATAAACTTTGACCTTGACCTAATTTGATATAAGGACTTTCACAATTATCACAATTATTTGTTTTAAACTCATTAATGTAATGCTTTGTTCATATTGTCATCAGATGTACCCATGTTTTTATACACAAAATGGAATAAAACATTGGTGCCAAAAAGTGACTTTAATAAATAAATAAATATATCAAATGTGATTTTTTTTTCTAAATAAGGGTTAAAATAGTGTTCAATAAGTATACTGTCATCCATGTGTGTACACATTTGTGTACTTATAAAACAAAGCCATTTCACAATTTTTCAAGCAATTATAAAGACATAAAAGTGCAGAACATCCAAGTGACAAATGACTTGGCACAAAACTGCAAATGTGGTTGTACAAAATTTTCTATTCATAGCTATTTGAGACCCCCCCCCCCAGTTACACTTTACATTTATGAGCTAGATTTCTTATAAAACAAATAAACACAAAACACTTCAAGTCCAAGTTCACTAATGGAGAATCATGTACCTATAGTTCATAAATATCTTCAACAAAGTTTCAAAGAGTGAGATGGTATTTAAGTTCAGTAACGTGTCTTAACATTGCATTTACACCACCAACACTCAAGTAAACCTTTTATTCTCCTTTGATCTGCATAACCCAATTATGAACCTTTCTGAGAGCACATTGAAAGGCTTTTCACCCTGAGATACAAATATACCTTCAATTCCACATTCATTTCATCTACAGAAACCTATTTACAAATACATTGTGTGTGCATGCATAGTTATGTATTATGGCAATGTTACTAATGTGCTGCTCAAAAACACATGCGAGGAAGGCGCAGAAACGAGCAATCTCATATGTATGCGTATGCATATAAAAAACAATGCAAACATCAACAATAAACAGCATATACTGTAAATCAAAACTGCCCAATGTTACCGAGTGAAATGTCGATCCAAGATGTGGCAAAGGACTGTGCAAGCTTTAGGGGTGTTGATGGAAGCGATCTATTGCATCTTTGCTTTGATCATCCTACTGAATACTATCCAGATGTAGTATTAGATAAAAACGTGATTTTCTCTCCTTTTTGCTCAAAATTTTGCTTTTTTTTTTTAAATTTACCTGCATTCAAGTGTTGATACAAAAAGAATGCTTGAAGCTAGAATAAAACGTAGAGAATAAAAGTAGAGGCTCTGTTCTTTATTTTGATGTATTGCATGTTCAGATATTCATAAAACAAAATATTCTGGGGGCCATAAAATTTTTGTGAAAATCATCAAAACTGCTGGCGGGGAAAGAGTCAAAGGGGTCATATGATGCGATTTCAATTTTTCCTTTCTCTTTGAAGTGTTACAAGCTCTTGGTGCATAAAGAAGATCTGTAAAGTTGCAAAGACTAAAGTCTCAAATCCAAAGAGATATTCTTTATAAAAGTTAAGAGTCAACCAAGCCTACCTAAAACGGCTCGTTCTAACACGCCCCCACATGTCTACGTCACGATGTGGGAAGATTTGCATAACGCTGCCCAAATGTTCACGCAAAGAAAGGCGGCATTACTTTTATTCTCGCTGTAGAATTGTTGCCGCTGCCACCATGCCGTGGAGACTCTGTGTTTCGTTGTGAAAGCGAAACTACTTGGTTTGGCCTTCCAAAAGAGGACGATATCCGCTTTGTCATGCCTAGAGCTGATCCGTGCTGGTCGCTGAGGAAATACA